CTAAGCCCAAGCCCTAAGCCCTAAGCCCCAAGCCCTAAGCCCTAAGCCCCAAGCCCCAGCTCTAACTCCCAGCTCTAGCTCTCAGCTCTAGCTCTAGCTCTCAGCTCTAGCTCTAGCTCTCAGCTCTAACTCCCAGCTCTAACTCTCAGCTCTAGCTCTAGCTCTCAGCTCTAACTCCCAGCTCTAACTCTCAGCTCTAGCTCTAGCTCTCAGCTCTAACTCCCAGCTCTAACTCTCAGCTCTAGCTCTAGCTCTCAGCTCTAACTCCCAGCTCTAACTCTCAGCTCTAGCTCTAGCTCTCAGCTCTAACTCCCAGCTCTAACTCTCAGCTCTAGCTCTAGCTCTCAGCTCTAACTCCCAGCTCTAACTCTCAGCTCTAGCTCTAGCTCTCAGCTCTAACTCTTAGCTCTAGCTCTTAGCTCTAACTCCCAGCTCTTAGCTCTAACTCCTAGCTCTAGCTCTAGCTCTTAGCTCCAACTCCTAGCTCTAACTTATAGTTATATATTTAATCCTATATCAAAAAATCTTAGTAGGATAATATAGAAATATATATAATATCAAAGTTCAAATATATATTTTTAAATAAAGTCGAAGAGTGCGGGCCCCTCGTATAGTTATCCCCTATTAAAAATAATTCGAATTTTTAATTACCTACTATACCTTTATAACTCAATTAATTACTCGAAAATTTACTAACTATAATCTTTATAGTATAGAATAGAACTTTATAAATTTTAAACTTTATCTTTATATAAGAAGCTTTTCTAATCTACTTATAAAACTATTCTAGTCTACTATAGCCCTACCTTTATCTACTATAGCCCTACTTTTATCTACTATAGCCCTACTTTTATCTACTATAGTTAACGTAAACTCCTAATTCGAGTCTACTACACTATAACTACCCCTATAGGATACGGATATCTTTAGCCTCTATTATATAACCCTTAAAGTTATTCTTTATAATATATATTTATATATTATCTCCTTAGAATATATACTAGTCATTTAGTAGGCCTTCGAACTATAATTTAATAAACACTTTACCCTTAAAAATTATATATAGAGGAAGCCCCTAGCTAAATGAATTCGTATACTTAATAATAGTCACCTATTAATAATTTCTACGTTATAAAAGTAAACCCTAGCCGTAGAATTCACTCCTTATTATTACCTTTTATTATAGGGCCGTCATACTTCGTACGAAGTGAAAGAAGAAACTATTAAATTAATGAATATATTTTAGGTAGGGTGCGTAGCTCGCCTACGAAATACCTTATACTATCCAACTTCTCCTTCTAGTTTATACGCTTCCTAACTTCTTACTTTAACTCCTAGTTCGTACGTTCTATAGGGATATATATCACTTTACTTCTAGTATTATAACTATCTATATATCAATCCCCTTATATTGCTTACAAAGCCAGATAACCCCCCAGATTAACTCGGTACAGTTAGTCCACCCATTTACCATCTGTCCTAAAAATCTCACTACCTCAGCCTCATTACCAAAATCAACTCCACGCTCTTGAAGCCGCCTAGCCCAGAGCCCCTGTATACTCCTCGTACCATTCAAGTCCCGCTGGGGCACCCCATATACCATCATCGCGTATATCGGGAGTAAGACATGTTTATATATACACTCCCCCTTTCAAACCCAACCCGACAAATCTGCTGTGGCATACCACATCGAAAGCAACACGCCCCTCGCTCGTACGACATCTTACTTCGCCACCGAAGATACCACTGCCGAGCAGTATTATTGCCAGGGGCATAACACTGATATAAGTCATGGTCGTTATCACCTCCATCCATCGTACAGACCCAGCACCGATCCTGCCACCTCTGGACTTCTGCCTCGAGGAATTCCATCAATTGCAGTGCCAGAGGCCCTTCCTCCCGCCGTTGCTGCCCAAACTGCCTTCGTACGATATCCTGCTGTCGGAGTTCGTACCGCACCTCAGTGGGAATCGCCCTGGCCTCGCTAGTAGAGATCACTGGCCCCTGTATAGGACTGGCTGCAGGTCGAATCCCTCTTGGGACCTGGGACTGGAAGCTCTCAGTACTGGCCGTACTAGATGCCCTCGAGCCATATGGACTCGCTGGGGCTATACGGAGTGGCTGCCAGCTATCACTCACCATGACACCCTGCTGGGATATCTCTGCTTCCGGTAGCATAGCCCGTGTCACTTCGTACGAGAGCCCATGGAACCAATCAGGTTGACATCGGTCACACCGTTGTTCGTCAAGCCCCTGCGCAATAATATCACCACAGTGTATCCTCGTACGCCCATCAAAGTCCCCATCAAGATATCCATCGAGGACTGCCCGTCGGCACCCATCTAGTGGCACATTAAGATACTCTCGTACGAGCCTTATATCGGCCTGGTGGGCTTGCACTTGTTTCTCATCCGCTCCAGCAGGTAGTTGGAACCAGATTGGTGGCTCATGGAAACTATCTGGCTGGATGATGATTGCCTCGCTGGGTTGGCCGTCTCGTCCAGCCCGTCCACTCTCCTGGCTGTAGTCGAGCATCGTACGGGGCCACCCAAGATGGATCACACACCGGATATCAGGAATATCAATCCCCATCCCAAGCGCGTTGGTGGCCACAAGGACTTTACCCATGCCGCCACAGAACCGTTCCAAGATCCCAGCACGATCAGCCTGCTCGGCAAAGAAGCCCTCACAGCCTAGGAGACCGGCCATCGTACGAGTATGTGTGATGGTGCTGCAGTATACAATTGTACGGCCTGGGAAGCCGAGCTGCACACGTTGATGGATAAACCGGGCCACACAATCCATCTGGATCCACTGGGACATGCTTTCGAAGCCACGCTTAATCAGAGGCCTCCAAACACGGTAGGCTACATTATGCCGGCTCGTACGATCCCGATATAGTGAAATATTCTCCCTTGTGCAATGAAGCCGCTTCCAGAGTTGGTGCTCGGCGCTTGGTGGGAGTGTGGCTGTGAGTAAGACTAGCTGAGCGTTGGTATTGGTAAGCTGGCTAAGCTTTCGAAAGGTAGGCCGGAAATTGCTATGTTGGTGGAGCATCAGATGACACTCGTCGATAACGATCCGATCAAGCTGGTGTATAAGCTGCTGGCGATTTAGGAACGTACGAAATTCCTCAGTGAGGGCAGACTCGGGTGTCACAAGGACAATCGATGCTTCGTCCGGAGGCCGTCGGCTTTCCCACTCAACGCATAAAATCCCAAGCGTCGTACAACGCTGCCGGAGGTCTGCCCGAAGCGTAACCAGCGGTACGACGACAATCGTGAGCCCCCCAGCCACCCACGCGGGAAGCATAAAGAGGAGACTCTTGCCCGCCCCGGTAGGCATGACTGTGACAATTGGACTCTCACCTGCCACGATTGCTTGAAGTGCCCGAGCTTGGATCCCCCGGAATCGTACGGTGGTATCTCCAAAAAACGACTGGAGAGCATTAGCCAGATTGGTCTCCCGGAGGAGGTAACGCCGCCCCGTACGACGTTCCTCATAGTCTTGCTCCCATAACGCACGCTTCCGTTTCCCAAACCCCTGGTGAACCGGTGACTCGATAGATGTTATGGGGCCGTCGTACTTCGTACGAAGCCCTATGGAAGATGCTTGCTTATGCTGCGCGGAATCTGCCAAACGTTACCGCCTTCGACGGAATATGTACACATTTGTTAGCTCAGGAGAACTCCTCTCCTCAACGAAACCTTCTTGTTCTTAAAACCCGTCTAAGTTGCACAACTAGGCTAGTTCCGTAACATTAGGTTTCGTTCGTCACCTTTATCGACGCTTAGTAAGGAGTTCCTACTAGTACAGAGTGAGAGACAAGATGTCTTACCAACCACGACGACATAATACCTTTGATCACGACAACCTACCAGACGCACTACCGGCACAACAAGCGATGGGAGAGATCTTCCCCCACCACGAGAGAACGATAGGATAGAAAGGGGGCCGACCCGGCCAACTTACCCCGATGTACGAACCTACAATGGACAGGACCCTAAGGAGTACGCAGCCTTTCGTACGAACTTGAAAATCAAGTTCTTGATGGATGCCCACTACTTTCACTCCGAGGAAATGAAGACCTACTACGCGTTTAGTAGGCTAGAAGGCATTGCGAGCCAGCAAGCCCACGCATGGATCGTAGCAATGGAGAATGAGAAGAAACCCCTCCTTCTCAATGAATTTTACCAAGCCATGGATCTCTACTTTGAAGACCCAGACAAGGAACAACGTGCCCTCGTACGAGTAAATTCGATGAAGCAGGGTAGGAGGAGTCTCCACGACTTCCTATCTGAGTTCGACCAGACACTAGTTACCGCGGGTGGATTACACTGGTCCGATGCCCAGAAGATGGCCCTTCTCCGGACCGCAATCAACGTCGATCTACTCCAGAGTACCGTCGGAGCTGAATTCGCTTCGTACGATGACTACCGGAACCGCCTTCTTCGGATCGACCACGACCTTCGGCAGATTGAAACGCTCCAGAAGAAGAAGTTAAGACCCTTCTTCCGTGGCAATCTCAGCAACACCCAAGACGACGCCGGCAGGATGGACTGGGAACCTACTCAAGCAACTAGGATCGCCGCCCTAGAAGCCGAGATCGCGGCCCTAAAGACAAACCAAAGGAGCAGTCCTTCTCGTACGAACGAACGGGCAAAATGGGTCTCCCGGGAAGAGATTGACCAACGCCGAATGAAGGGGGAATGCCTACGCTGCGGACAGAGAGGGCACCTGATTGCGGGCTGTAGACTACGGCCTGCCACCCGACCTCTAGAGGTGAACGCTGTCGATGCAGATGGAGACAACGACTCGGGAAAAGAATAACCTTCGTACGAAATCGTGTACGGAGGTCGCTAGATACTTCAAAATTGAAACATTCTGTTTGGGAAGAATTTGAAGCCACGCGTATGAACTCCCCACCGTTTGTCATTGCCGCGACCCTAGACCGACAAGCTATGGCCCGTACCTTAGTCGATAGCGGATGCCTATCGTACGGAGCTATCAGTGAAGCCTTTGCGAAAGAAAGGAACTTAGAGACTTTCGAGATCCTACCACGAACATTAAGAGGAATAGGAGGAAAGGGGACGATTTCACAAATCGTACGAACCTCCCTCTCAATTGACCACCACTTTGAGAAAGAGACCTACTTCTATATGATCCCTGATTCCATCGGATACGACCTGATTCTTGGCCTACCCTGGCTGAGACAACAGAACGCTTGCTTCGAACCTTTAAGGAACCGGTTATATCTTCGATCATCGAAAACCCGCCTCTATGGGATCGGCAAAACTCCTCTCCCCGATACTACAGAGATCTCGGCACTCTCAATGCATAGAGAGATTCAGTCAGCAATAAAAGACCATAATTCGTACGATTCCCAAATCTTTGCTGTCTCTATGGCCGATATCGAGAAAGCATTGAAAACCAAGAAACCAAAGGACCTAAAGGTGGAACTCCCCACTGAGTACCACGAATTCCTCCCTTTATTTGACCCCGACGAAGCGACTAAACTCCCACCACACCGCGGGGAAGGAATCGACCATAAAATCGAACTTATACGAGAAAATGGTAAAGAACCAATAGTCCCCTGGGGGCCCCTCTACAATATGTCGAACGAAGAACTTCTAGTGCTACGAAAGACCCTAAATGAGCTCTTGGATAAGAACTTCATTAGGGTTAGCAAATCCTCAGCAGCAGCACCAGTGCTATTCGTACGAAAGCCAGGAGGAGGGCTCCGTTTCTGCGTCGACTACCGAGCGCTAAACGCTCTCACAAAAAAGGACCGCTACCCCCTTCCCCTGATTCATGAGACGCTGAACCAGATCGGACGAGCGAGATGGTTCACGAAACTCGACGTATCAGCCGCGTTCCATAAGATCCGGATTGCCGAAGGAGAAGAATGGAAAACCGCGTTTCGTACGAGGTACGGACTTTACGAATGGCTTGTTACCCCCTTTGGCCTGGCCAACGCGCCGAGCTCATTCCAGAAATATATCAACTGGTCCCTACGAGAATACCTAGACGATTTCTGCTCCGCCTACCTCGACGATGTATTGATCTATTCGGAAGGGAACATCGAAGATCATCGAAAACACGTAAAGAAGGTCCTCCAGAAGCTACAGGAAGCTGGCCTACACTTGGATATTGGGAAGTGCGAATTCGAATGCACCGAAACCAAGTACCTTGGCTTTATCGTACGAGCAGGAGAAGGGGTTAAGATGGACGCTGAAAAAGTGCAAGCGATACTCGACTGGGAAACACCAACCACAGTCCGAGGCGTGAGGGGATTCCTCGGCTTTGCCAACTTCTACCGACAATTCATCCCAAACTATTCAGAAGTCGTACGACCTCTTACCCAACTCACGCAAAACAACGTCCCCTTTGTCTGGTCTACTATATGCGAGAAGAGCTTCCAGGAGCTAAAACGACTCTTCACAACAGAGCCGATACTAGCAGCCTTTGACCCATCTCGTACGACAGTGGTAGAGTCCGACTCGTCAGGATACACGGTTGGAGGAGTCCTCTCACAGTACGATGATAAGGGTGTGCTACGACCATGCGCCTACTTCTCCAAGAAAAACGCTCCCGCCGAGTGTAACTATGAGATCTACGATAAGGAGCTGCTCGCTGTCGTACGATGCCTAGAAGCATGGGACGCAGAACTACGTTCAGTCCAAGGGAAATTCCTCGTTATCACCGACCATAAGAACCTAGAATACTTCTTCAAACCAAGGAAGCTCACTGAACGGCATATGCGGTGGTCACTCTTCTTAAGTAGGTTCAACTTCGACTTCCAATATCGCCCCGGTACAGACAACGCCCGAGCGGACGCCCTATCACGACGAGACCAAGACAACCCAACCGAGGAAGACCCAAGAATCGCAGATCGTACGAAGTGTCTCCTAACGCAGATAGGAGACGATAAGGCTACTGTGAATATCCATGCCACGACCGCACAGCAAACCCCTGACGAACAAGACTGGGAGCTAGCGAGAGATGGGGATGACGAGTACCAGGGCGCTATACGGACACTACAACAGGGCCTACGGAAGTTCCCACCAGAACTAAAGCTAAAAGTCTCAACTTCCGAATGCACAATCGACCAAGCCCAGAAACTTCGCTTCCGCGGAAGGTTATGGGTCCCTAACTCTGAGCCCCTTCGTACGAAAATCATTCAGACCGCACACGACTCTCGACTCACCGGACACCCAGGGAGGGAGGAGACCTATACAGTGGTTAGCCGCGAGTACTTCTGGCCGAATATGTCGATCGACATCCGGAGATTCGTACGGAACTGTGACCTATGTAACGGGGCGAAACCATGGCGAGAGCTGAAGCGAGGCCTCCTAAAGCCGCTCCCGGTGCCAGAACAACCATGGCGAGACGTGGCCCTCGACTTCATCACCGATTTACCACCAAGCGACAGCCGTACGAACATCTTGGTAATCACAGATCGGCTGACAAAGGGAGTGATCCTAAGGCCGATGAAGTCAATTTCGGCCGAAGACTCCGCATGGGCAATCATTGACAGCCTCGTACGACAACACGGATTCCCAAACTCGATCGTCTCGGACCGAGGAACCCAATTCACAAGCCTCCTATGGGAACGGATCTGCCAGCTATGTAAGGTTATACGACGGCTGTCGACGGCCTACCACCCCGAGACCGATGGACAGACCGAACGACACAATAGCACGTTAGAAGTGTACCTACGCCTCTTCGTACGATTTGAACAGAACGACTGGAAACGCCTACTCCCAATGGCCGAACTTGCGTTAAATGGACGAGTCTCCGCAGCAACCGGCGTAAGCCCTTTCTTCCTAACCCACGGTTATAACCTCTCTCCATTTGACCCACCAATCGAGGAACCGCGTATAAACAGCACCATTACCACGCCAGAACCAAGCCCAATCCAAAAAGCAGAAACGATCGTACGAAAGCTAGCTGGAGCTATGGACTGGGCACGTGCATCGATAGCCTACGCCAACCAACAGATGGAAGCAAACGCTAACCGGCACCGACAACCGGCGCCTACCTTCCAAGTCGGAGACGCTGTTTGGTTAAACCTGAAAAATATACAGACCGAACGACCCTGCAAGAAGCTCGACTGGAAGAACGCAAAATATAGGGTTCAGGAAGTTATTGGTTCCCACGCAGTACGACTGGATACGCCACCCGGCATTCACCCAGTATTCCATGTTAACCTCGTACGACTCGCGACACAAGACCCCCTTCCGTCCCAACTGGCACACGAACCGCAACCACCAGCAATCATAGTCGACGACCAAGAAGAGTGGGAGATCGAAGAAATTATAGATGAGACACAAACACGCAGGAGGAACAACGCTCGTACGAGCTACAAGGTTAAGTGGAGAGGCTACACGAGACCAACCACAGAGCCAGCGGACGCACTCAAGGACACAATAGCGTTAGACGTGTGGCTACAGAAGACCGCACCGTTTAGAAAGATCGATGGGTCCCTTGATAAGGCTAGCTACTACGCTTCGTGCTAGTGCTAACTGAGTCTAGAAACCTCGATATTGTGTGTTGATTGCGTCTATGAAAAGTGCTAAGCCTCGTACGGTCTAGTCAATGAGCTCCTCTACAACAGAGGGCGGAGGGAGAGGGCCAGCTCCACACTTCCCGCTGCACTGGAGTGAAGCACAGCATTCGAAGGGCTTCGTTTCCCGCAGCAGTCAGACGGACCTTGACATACTGCTTCCCTCCGTGCTCAATGCGAGTCAGGGGCAGGAGCATACGCCGGGAGGAGGGTTCGACTTGACGCGGGTCGTACGACAGAAGATTGAAGTTAGACGACTCCATGGTTGACAGGAGGTTTGGAGACTGCGAATAAAAAATAAAAAAAAAAAGAAGAAGAAGAAGGGAATTGAGGACCTATTTATGCCTTCCAACTACAGCCCACATGCTACAAAGCAACGACGTCGTCGAACACGTTTGCCCTATTCGGCCAATCATAGGCCACGATTTTGTTTGCTTCTCCCATTGATTCCTAATCTGGCGTCTATTGAAGCAAACAGTCATTGTCCTAGGGGAGGGGGGTATTGTTATGGGGCCGTCGTACTTCGTACGAAGCCCTATGGAAGATGCTTGCTTATGCTGCGCGGAATCTGCCAAACGTTACCGCCTTCGACGGAATATGTACACATTTGTTAGCTCAGGAGAACTCCTCTCCTCAACGAAACCTTCTTGTTCTTAAAACCCGTCTAAGTTGCACAACTAGGCTAGTTCCGTAACAATAGATGAGAAGGCGAGGAACCGATGCCAATCTACACTGGACTGACGGAATAACTCCCGTCGTTGTACGGTGGAGCCAGCCTGCTCAGTGATCTCTCGTCCGTAGATAAACCCCGCCACGTGGGATGAATGGGCTGCCTGGAGGTCGGCGATACGGCCAAGGACACTGTTGAAGCCAGTCGATCCCTCCAGGTCAATATGGTCACCATCCTCAAGCTCCTTTTCGGTATCGCCCTCTTCGTACGAATTCGGTGGAAAGGCGCTCGCTGTATGAAGGAAGCGGCGGCTGATCCCAATGGCAATATCCCGGTAAGACGAGATATTAAGTGTGTGGCCATGGAGCCCAATCGCACTCTCATTGCGGAGGGCCTCGCGGAACCGACCGGATGACCAGACCCGGCCGGTGCTGGGGTCTGGGGCCCAGACATATGCTTCTGCCGTACGAGCTGGAGTTTGTTCTGGGGTCAGAACCTGCAACCGCTCCAGAAAGGGAAGGACTAGCCAGAGGTATCGTACGAGCAACTCGCCGACCTCACGTGGAAGATAGCGATGGATCAGCTTTGTATCGTTCCGCGTGTAAAAGCCTTTGTGGTAGCTGGTCGCAATCACAACGAGCCGATCCTCGATAAAGACATTCCGGTGAGCAGTCTCCGTATTACGGTGTCGTACGGAGAGAAGCTCAGGGGCCCGGCTAGGCTGCCCACCAGTGATATGAACCGCGACGCTCAGCTTTTCTCGGAAACGGACAACCGCTCGAAGATAGCTCCGGATTGCGGTCGTACGAAACTGGCCCTTTTGGGAGTCGAGGAAGAGTCGCTGGAGGCTGGCCTCTCTGGATATACGTGTCATCATCCACTCGGCTCCGTTGACTGGCAGCTTCGTACGAGGGTCATTGAGAAAGCTCCAGCCCGGCTGGCCTTGTGCGGGATCGTCCATCAAAGCATCCCATGGGATAGGAGGAAGGGCCTCGGCCCTGCAGACTAGTAGCTCGTCGTACAGGATCTGTTGGAGGGCGTGCGTCAGGCCATGGATAAACGCACGAAAGTCCCGCATGGTGAAGTGGAGATCCTTGTAGAGAATCCGGTCCTCGCCAGTCCAGGTAATAAACCCAGGCTGACTACTATTAAAGTGGACCTTGAGGCCGTACGAACGGAGATCGAGTAGCCACTGGATCGGTGTCTGCGAGCCTCGTACCATAAACCGTGTGACCATCAGATGGAGCCATTGGGTGAACCGCCGTGGCCGCTGGCGCTGTTCCTGGGTGAACTGGAGAGGCGCCGCCTGGTCCTGCTCGACCTCAGCGTCGCTCTCGCCGTGCACTGAAAGGGCCTGTGGGCTTATCGTACGAGAAAGATGATCGTACCCAGAGAGGAGATAGCCAGGCTCGTCAAATGGGGTCTCAGCAGATAGAACCAGCTTGCTGGAATGGCCCTGGAAGGAGGCAATCAGCTCGTCCACGTACGGATCAAGTCGGACCGCCTTGTGGAGGACGATAAACCGGGCAATCTTGAGGATCTTTGACAGGATTGGGGGGTAACTGTCAGTATCCATCCAGCCGTACGAAGTGCGGCCGAGGACAGCTAAGGCACAGACAAAGGCGCTCTCATACTCCGATACGCCGATCCGTTGGTTGAGGAGTTCAATACAAAAGTCCATACAGGCGATCTGGACCGGGCTTGCAGAGAAGGCGTCGTACGACTGCGGGTCGGGATAAGATGGGGAGCCCTAGCTCTGAGCGGTTATAGATGATTCGCCTAGTGGTACCTCCGTCTAGGCCTAGGCCAGTCGCCAAAGCTCTCGCCACGTACGAGACTAACGGGGTGTGAACTGGTACTAAGGGCTTTGCTAGTTATGCGGCTGCTGTGTGCGAGCAAAGAAAACCAGGATCCGCTGCCAGGGCTCGACATGGCGCTGGATGTTCGCCTCGTCTATGTAGGCTAGGAGGGGAGTAAAGGGGCTCTCATGCTGCTCCGTACGAGCGGCTTCAGTCCGGGCAAAGTGGCCACACTGCTTAGTGATACGCTAGCTCATAGCCGCAACCGAGCCCATCACGTCCCAAATTACTCGTACGATAGCCTCGTTCTCGACCCCCTCAGGCGCTAGAGTCTCGAGCGACTAAAGGAGGGGCGGTACTAGAATGCCCCGGAGATACGTGGGCCACTACGTACGGCGAAGCCATAGGTTAGCGTCATCGACCTAGCCCGCCTCGATGGTATGCTCGACCGTCGAGAGGGCCTCAGTATAGCGCTGCTCGACCTATTGTACAATCTCCTCGGCCTAGCTAGATAGGATCGGTGGCGCTTACGGTAAATGGGGGATCCCAGGCTGCTGCACCCAAAAGTATAATAAGCCGGCCCCTCGTACGAAGAACCGCTAACAGGTCACTTACCGCCAGGATCGATCAAGGAGATCTCTAGCTCTCTGCCGGTGCTAAGCTCGAGGGTGCCCAGGCTTCGTACGGACAGAGAATCTATACGTTGTCCGCCAGTGCTCCTTCATCGCTTTCAGGCTACGACAGACATACTGACAGTCAGCAGCCACAGTACACAGTATGCCGTCGGTATAGATAGATAGAGCTTGGATTGGGTCCTAGACACTCAGGGGGTACTATAAAGTGGTTGGATCGTACGAGATACCTTCCCATATTCCTATGGTCGCTACAGTCTCCTAGGCGTGGCGTAGAGAAAGCCGATAAGGATCGTGGGTAAGATAGTAGGCGATCTACTTTGGTCGTACGGCTACCTGACAGGACTAACAAACCACTAGAGGAAATCGGGGTAGGAGTGAGATAAATTGTGGACCTATAGGGCTGGTCTCGGCCATCGCAAGAGTGATAGCCAAGGATAGGCTCCAAAGGCTATCCCTTATACAAAATCGTACGAAAGACAAAATCCACTTATGAGTGGGGTATTCATCAGTCTAAAGCTTTAGCCTTTTTTTTTTTTTTTTTAGCACTAGAAAGGGGGGAATAGCCAGAAGTTCACGTAGAGGACCCACAATAAAATATATATCTCCCATTGGTTTAAACTCGGAAGGATTGTACAGAGTCTATATGGAATCGGTGAATAAAGTTCATATTCGTACGATACCTTGACTCTATAACTCTTGAATCCCAAGCCCTAAACTTCCTACTTTGACTACCTAGTGTATTGTCCCTATCCCCTCACCCAAGCTGCCAATACCACCAATATACCTATCGTACGATCCCAATCTATACTACTGCAGCAGTACCACTAGCACCAGCACCAGCACCACCAGCACCATTGTCGTCATTAGCTTCGTCCGAGTCGGTCAGCTCCTCGACCCGGCTTAGGGGTGGAAGAGGAGCAGACGCCTACAGGATGTATCGCGGCTCGTTAGGGTTTCTTACATTGCACTACGCTGTCTGTTCCTTCCACTTGCAATTAGCACAGCATCCCTCCCAGGTACCAGGCAATCGTACGACATTTTTACCAAATGGGTGGCCTTAGCGAGACCGATAGCATATCCCTTGGAAACGAACTCCACGAGAAGCGATCAAGAGTCCATTAACGTACGACGGCCGTGCACTACGGATCTATCCAGATCGAGAATTAGTAGCTAGTATCAACCCAAAGAAATATCAACGTACTTGATCAGCCGAGATAACGGGAGTTCGGTCCTTCTTCATCTTCACAAGAAACTCGTACGACGGCCATGACCAGACCTCGCGCTGCTCTAGGGTACGGCAGAGCTCTCGGAGCGCCGCATTCCCATAGGTAGAGTGCGCCAAAAACCGCAAAACCGCAAAACCAAACCGCCCCAAACCGCAAATGGTTTGGTTTTTGGGGCCAGTTTCAGAAACCATTGCGGTTTTTGGTTTTCGAGGCCCAAACCGCAATGGTTCTTGGGGCCCCAATGGTTTGGCAAACAATGCAAACTGGGTGGGTCCTTGTCAGTGTATAATTTATGCGGGTTTTCTCTGTTTCTTAGGGTATTTGACTTCGAAGATATGATATATGTGAAATAAGTGCTTTAGGCTTAGGCACTTGATTTCTGACCGCGGTCAGAAATATAGGGTTCTCTTATTATAGTACTAGCTTTTTGACCGCGGTCAGAAATTAGTGTAATGATTGAATTCGCTATCCTGTTGATCGCTAATAATACTGGTATAGATCCTCGTCATGTCTGATCCGTTTCCGAGCTCTTACAGAAGCACGTATCTGAGTGCTTTTATCTTTATTAGAAGGAAGGGGAGGGTCAGTATCATGATCGATCATAACCTGTATATCCTCCCTACCTTGCACCTCTTCCTCTTCCTGGGTTTGCTCTTCCTCAGTATCACTAATCGGATCGACGTTCACTGTATCAGTTGTGATTTCCTTCTCCTCCTTTGCCGCTTCGATCTCGTCGCGAGTAAAGAATTCCTGTAGGAATACTGCCTGTTCCTCCTCGATCTCGAATTTTGAAGTACAAAGAAACATCATTAACTCCTGGATAGTTGTTGCACTTAATCTTCCACGGCGATAGTGACAGATATCTCGGGCAGTATTAAAAAGTCGTTCAACACCAGCACCAGTCGCAGGGACTGAAAGCACATCTCGTGCAAGGGCTGCAAGAGTTGGGAAACGATAGGCATTCTCCCTCCAAAACACTAAAGGCGCTATATCTATAGTAGCTTGTGGGATAATTAATATCATATAAAGCAAAGTAATTAAGGATACATACCACTATCAAGATATTGCGAAAGCTCATCGCCTGCTACAGCAGAGCGGGGACGCTTTGGCTTTACCATCGAGTCTAGGCGCGATATTCCTCCCCCTAACGAAAGAGATAGAGGAGACGTCGGTTGCTGGGCAAGACGTTCTTTATAAACAGCCAAATGCTCTTCAAGAGACTTTCTGTATATCGTACGCCAACGATCATCCCAATCATCTGTTTGGAAGAACTGGAATTTGTTCGCTGGAGCTAGCATTGTAGTGATTGCATAAAGATGCCCTCGTACGTTATCTGTCTCAGAGTAGTACTCATCAAGCTTCTTTCGCGCAGCTTGTAACGCCTGAAGCATCTGTCGCTTCCAGGTAGTCTTCTTCCGCGTAAGCTGGGTGATTGATAGCTCTAGGTGCTCAAACAGCTTGTTATAAATCAGAAATACATGATGTGTAGTGGCATCCCGGGTTTTTGAAAGTTCAACTGTGAAATCAAAGAAGGGCTGGGTAATGAAGAGAAGGTAGTCAACCTGGCGCCATTCTTCGTCCTCGAGTACCATATCAGGCCGCTCATACTCATCACAAAATGGCTGGAAAAACGATCGTAAGCGTTTTGCACGTCGAAGCATTAGAAACGTAGAATTCCAGCGTGTCTTAACGTCTTGAAGAGGCATAAGCTTTGTTGTTTCGCCTTGTAGATTGTAGAAGGTTTCCCGTCGTTGGGGACTTGCATTCACATAGATCGCAAGGTTTCGAATCTAGATATCGTAGTTAGTATAATATAAAAACTCTAGATTGTATAAATATATACCTTCGATAGTGTATTGGCAATATTTTGCTTAGTTGCATTCATACGCGCTGACTGGGATCGCTGCTCTGTCCACCGTGTCTCCGTTGATTCATTGAGCGGGCAAGCCTTAATATACCCAAGAAGCTCATTAAGGCTCAGCTGAATCACATGGGCAAGACAAGGGACCCTAATAAGGGTAGTGTCTTCTGATATTGCTTGTTGTAGTGTATCAACCAATGTCTGGTTATTTGATGCATTGTCAGTCGTGATTGCGAAGACCCGATCTTCGATCTTATGTCGCAAAAGTATATCGAGGAGTACAGAACTTAGGTTCACACCAGAGTGTGATCCGTAAAGGGGTTCAAAGCCGAGAAGAACCTCACGGTATTGCCAGTCCTTATCGATAAAATAGCCAGTTATAGCCATAAATGCCTGTGTGAAAGGCGAGGTCCAGCAATCAAGAGCAATTGATATTTTTGTATCTTCTGGGAGCATTCTTAGAATTCTTTCCTGTTGTTGTTGTACGGAGGATTGTAGCCGGCGTCGTATAGTCTTTGCTGAAGGGATATCCGGGACCCTCGGTGCAGATTGGGCTATCTGGATTAAGCGATGAAACTTAGGATGCTCGATCAGCCGAAAGGGAAGACGCGCGACCGTAAGAAATGTAAGAAGCTCTTGTTCCCATATCTCTTGACTGAATTCATTGGCGATCGGCGTATTCTAGTTATAGTCTAGGAATTAGACTAGAACTAATTATAATAATAGACGAGAAACATACCTTGAGCTGTAAAAATCGAGTGATATCTGTCCCTTGACCTTGGGTAGCTTTTATACACCCTGCGCTAGAAAGGTGGCCTTTCATAGTTGAGGTTCCTTGACGCTGTTTCTTCCCATCTTTTGTCTCACGGACAAAGTTTGGGTGCTCAAGAATCTGTCCACAGCGCTTGCACATAACCTTTGCAGTACCATCAGAGCTATGGGCGACCTGGTGAAATGTGTCCCAGGTACTAGACTGATGTTTCGCGTCCCAGGATATATGTTGTTTCTTACCGAAGCCTGTCTCTAGCCACCAACTTACCCAGTCGTTATGGAGCATTTCGTCATAGAGAAAATAGACCTTCTTACGACCAGGGCCAACACGTGTGAATGTTGAAGGGATTGATGGAGGTAGGGACGGTCGGAGGAAGTCCGTTTCGAATGAAGGTAATGTTTCCTGACTCTCAGATAGATCAGATATAAAAGGATGATTGTGAGTATAATTGTCGAAATCACTATCGTAGATCGATGAGGAGAAGGCAGATTGCTGGGTTTGAGACATGATGAGTATGAAAACACAACTACTAATGGTAAATACTAAGAGGGAAGGGTCAGACTTACATAAATTATACAGATTCTAACTAACTATATAGACGCGACTGACAGGACAACAAAGGATTCCTAAATAAGTGGATATATCGCGATTTAATTAGTATACTAAGCCGCTAATTGGATAACAGTAGCTTACTATATGGGTCAAAACCGCAAGAAACCATCAAGAAACCGCAAAAAACCAATAAAAACCGTAAGAAACCATTAAAAAACCGCAAGAAACCGCAAGAAACTTTAAATCATTTTTCCGCCGAAAGCTACCTCGAAAATTGAGCCTAAGGCAGCAGCTATATCAAAGTCTCAACTAAATAACTAAGTGACTTTAAACTAATTTTACAGTCTATAAACTAAGGAGTTATTATTGAAATAGGATAATATTTATAAAAAGGATAATTCGTAATTGATTAATATAAGTTATAATATTATAATACCTTTATTTAAAAAGTTGTAGGGAAACTGTAGTGATCAGGGAAAGATATATATTAAACTGTTATATTGAATATATATTTCCGCGATAAAATATAGAAGAACATCTAAGACCCAACAATTTCTCCTTTTTATTATCCATATAATAGGCTGATACTAGTACTAGTTAAGGCTTAGGCTCTACCCACGTAGTATATTTCTGACCGAGGTTAGAAACAAATGCTACCGCCCACGCGGATATAAAGTATAGTTGTGACCAATACAAGGTTAAATAACAGTAATATATTAGCATGAGTCACCCAGTTTATGTATGCCAAGACCTCAATTTTATACAAAAATGGTTTTTGTTGGGGCCCCATTGGGGAACCGCAGTGGTTTGTGGTTTGGTTGCGGTTTGGGTGGTTGGAAACCGCAACCACTGCGGTTTGGTTTTTGGGGGCAAACCTTGCCCCCAATTGCGGTTTTTGGCGCACTCTACCCATAGGCGGTCAGTCGGACAATATAGTACTCGGCACCCCCTTCTCCTACAGTCGCCCTTCGTACAAGGTTAAAGAGATTCGAAGCCCTAGGAGTAACCTAGGAAGGGTCACTTAGCGTACGAACAAGCGATCCGGGAGGGGGAGGAGGTCCTCCAGGAGGACCAGCACTAGCTATAGAAGCCATAATGAGATAACCAAGAATATATAAGAAAGGCTAGATTGGCTAGAAGTTATTTCTAGCCAGAGTAGCTGGGCAAAGCTCAGGTTTAAATGTAGTATGGTGAATATAAGCCTAAACCTAGAAAAATGCAAAACCCCTCGCTGACCAGAATAAAAAGCCCATGCCCTCGTACAAAGGCCCAGGTTCAAAACAAAGACTAGATAACATAAGAACGAAGCCATAGAAAATGCGAAACTCTCCACTAACCAGAATAGAAATCCCACATTCGTACGAAGGCCCAGGTTCAAAACAAAGACTGGACAATATGAGAACGAAGCCACAGAAAATGCAAAACTCTCTACTGACCAGAATAGAAATCCACATCATCAGATAAAGGTCCCTCGTACAAAGTCCCAGGTGCAAAACAAAGACTGGACAATATGAGAACGAAGCCACAGAAAATGCGAAACTCTCCACTAACCAGAATAGAAATCCCATATTCGTACGAAGTCCCAGGTTCAAAACAAAGACTGGAGAACATGAGAATATCGCCATAGAAAATGCGAAACTCTCCACTGACCAGAATAGAAATCCCATATTCGTACGAAGTCCCAGGTTCAAAACAAAGACTTAGAGAACATAAGAACGAAGCCATAGAAAATGCGAAACTCTCCACTGACCAGAATAGAAATCCCACATTCGTACGAAGGCCCAGGTTCAAAACAAAGACTAGATAACATAAGAACGAAGCCACAGAAAATGCAAAACTCTCCACTAACATAAAGAGAAATCCCACATTCGTACGAAGGCCCAGGTTCAAAACAAAGACTAGACAACATAAGAACGAAGCCACAGAAAATGCGAAACTCTCCACTAACCAGAATAGAAATCCACATCATCAGATAAAGGTCCCTCGTACGAAGTCCCAGGTTCAAAACAAAGACTAGAGAACGTGAGAACGAAGCCACAGAAAATGCGAAACTCTCTACTAACATAAAGAGAAATCCCACATTCGTACGAAGGCCCAGGTTCAAAACAAAGACTAGACAACATAAGAACGAAGCCACAGAAAATGCGAAACTCTCCACTAACCAGAATAGAAATCCACATCATCAGATAAAGGTCCCTCGTACAAAGGCCCAGGTGCAAAACAAAGACTAGACAACATGAGAACGAAGCCATAGAAAATGCGAAACTCTCCACTAACATAAAGAGAAATCTACGCCGTTCAATAAACAGTAGTCGTACGAAGTCCCACGTTCTAAGTAAAGTGTAAAGATCATAAGAAAGTAACTTATATTTATTGTAACTTGCTTGGTTTCACCATAAAGGCTACTTATCCTAAACACCACGTAAAGGTGCAAGTTTGCTCAGGTGTCGCACACAGTCCCCGTACGACTAGGTAGGGCATAGGGGAATAAAAAGAAAAGGTATCCTTACTCAGTCAATGATGATGACGTCGTCGTCATCATCCAGCTCGACGGGATTGGCGGCTGTCCCAATAGCCAACTAAGACTGTGGAAGGGGGCTCCGAGCTGGGGGAGCGGCCGCTCTTCGTGTCCTGTTCCGGTTGCCAGTGCCGTCTCGTACGGAGCAGCGGAATCCATGATCCTAGAACTTGCAGTTGCCGCATACTCCGTCGAAATACCCCGGTGCACGGGAGCAGATCGGGAATAGGGAGGGGCTCCCTGTACGACGGCGCTTATTAGCACACTCATCGCACTCGGTAATAAGCTCCTATCCACGAGATTGTATTAGCAAAGCATTTACGTACGACGGGCGCATACTCGCAATCTAGGCGCCCCGAATACGGCCAACCATAAACGGGACGTTATAGCCGGTCAAGGCAAGCAAGGCGCGGCCTTCGTCGCTATATACGAAACGGGCAAAAAGAGGGCTTCCCACTAGAAATGGTATCTGTGAAACACCACCTCGAGGACCAGCATACCGTACGAGAGAGTTATTCCCTCCAGTACCTAGGGAGGTGACAGGCCATCCAAATTCAGCTCCAGTCTGGATATACCCCTCACAGAACTCAATCAGCCATTGTAGGGTAGTAGGCCACCCACCGACCGGGTCAATATTGCCATCAACTAACCCCCACAACCTAGCAAACGCAGCCTGAGCTTCGTGTGTGTGAGCTCGTGCCCGAGCATAAGGACCAAGGGGGAGGTTAGGACGGGGGGGCGGGAGCCAGCAGGGCGAGGCCTAGATCGTACGGAGTGAAGCATTAGTGAATATTCTGATTCAAAAAAAGGTCTCACCAGAAGCAGGAAGTAGGATATTGATACAGGATGAATGGGTTTCGTACAGAGAAGGCATCTTAATGAAAATCAAAATAAAAGTGAAATTTAAGATAAAGAGAGAGAGAGAGAAAGAGAGAAGTGGGAGGAAAACTAAGAATTAAATATCTGCTAGATAACAATAGAGGTGATTACTGAATTGGGTAATATTGTTACCTTATACAGCTATAAAAATAAATATTGCTACCTAAGGCATTTATTGTACGAGATATCAATAATATAATGAGGCATGAATAATAGGATAAGGAATCAACAATAGGATAAGCCATGAATATGCCATGGACCTAACAATTATGACAGTCCTGCCTAGAGCTTGAATCGTACGAGACATCACTCATGGATGATACATGAATAATGGGACAAGCCTTCATCAATGGGACAAGCCTTCATCAATGGGACAAGCCTTCATCAATGGGATAAGCCTTCATCAATGGGACAAGCCTTCCTCAATGGGACAAGCTATGAATATGCCATGGACCTAACAATTGTGACAGTCCTGCCTAGAGCTTGAATCGTACGAGACATCACTAATGGACGATACATGAATAATGGGACAAGGTATCAACAATAGGATGAGCCTTTAACAATGGGACAAGCCATGAATATCATATATGACAGTCCTGCCTAGAGCTTGAATCGTACGAGATATCACTAATGGATGATACATGAATAATAGGACAAGCCTTCATCAATAGGACAAGCCTTCATCAATAGGATAAGCCTTCATCAATAGGATAAGCCTTCATCAATAGGACAAGCCTTCATCAAGGGGACAAGCCATGAATATGCCATGGACCTAAAAATTGTGACAGTCCTGCCTGGAGCTTGAATCGTACGAGACATCACTAATGGATGATACATGAATAATGGGACAAGGTATGAATATCCCATGGACCAAACAATCTTGACAGTCCTACCTGGAGCTTAAATTGTACGAAAAAATCAATAATGGGACAACATGTAAATATACCATGGATTAGAATATGAATCTATAAGTAATTCTAACTTGAAATATATATTTTAAAATAAAGTTGAAGAGTGCTGGCCCTTCGTACGGTCGCACCCCATCAAAAATAATTCCGATTTTCAATCAGCCACCACACCTTTATAACTTAGTCAATTACTCTAAAATTCGGTGACCATAATCTTTATAGTCTAGAATAGAACTTTACAAATTTTGAGCTTTATCCTCGTACGAGAAGCTTTTCCAGTCTACTGACGAAAAGTATTCCAGTCTACTCATGGCCCCACTTTTATCCACCATACTTAAGGCAAAGTCCTAATTCCAGTCTACTAGACTGCAACAACCCCCATGGGATAGATATATTTTCGTAGTGGCCGCTATTAAAATTACCTACCCGCGTAAATACGAATACAATATGATATTTTTACTACTAGGTTACTAAGATAAGATAGATACGGCTTTGTACGGGATCCCGTATTGAAATCTACGGTCGCACCCCACCAAAAAAAAAGATCGATTTTCAACTTAATATTTAACCACCTTCCCGGGTAGGTATCGATTCCAAATTTTGATAGCACTTTTATATATAGGTAGAATAGAACTTGATAAATTTTCAGACTAATCGGAGCATGGGAAGTCAGGTATTTATAACACCAAATACCTGAGCTAGACCCACCTTCCGGGAGCCAATCAAACCACCTAAAATCCAAATACCTGGCAGGTATTTGTCCTGGAATAGAGTTAGTCCTACCTAGAGCTTAAATCGTACGAGATATCACTAATAGATGATACATAAATAATGGGACAAGCCTTTATCAATGGGACAAGCTATAAATATGCCATGGACCTAACAATTATGACAGTCCTACCTAGAGCTTGAATCGTACGAGACATCACTCATGGATGATACATGAATAATGGGACAAGCCTTCATCAATGGGACAAGCCATGAATATGCCATGGACCTAACAATTGTGACAGTCCTGCCTAGAGCTTAAATCGTACGAGATATCACTAATGGACGATACATGAATAATAGGACAAGGTATCAACAATAGGATAAGCCTTCAACAATGGGATAAGCTATGAATATCATATATGATAGTCCTACCTAGAGCTTAAATCGTACGAGACATCACTAATAGATGATATATAAATAATAGGACAAGGCATAAATATCCTATAGACCAAACAATCTTGATAGTCCTACCTAGAGCTTAAATTATACGAAAAAATTAATAATGGGATAATATATAAATATACCATGGATTAGAATATAAATCTATAAGTAATCCTAATTTAAAATATATATTTTAAAATAAAGTTAAAGAGTGCTGGCCCTTCGTACGGTCGCACCCTATTAAAAATAATTCCGATTTTTAATTAGCCACCACACCTTTATAACTTGGTTAATTACTCTAAAATTCGGTGACCATAATCTTTATAGTCTAGAATAGAACTTTACAAATTTTGAGCTTTATCCTCGTACGAGAAGCTTTTCCAGTCTACTAACGAAAAGTATTCCAGTCTACTCATGGCCCCACTTTTATCCACCATACTTAAGGCAAAGTCCTAATTCCAGTCTACTAGACTGCAACAACCCCCATGGGATAGAATAATAATATACTCACATAACTAATAACCCAAAACCCATCGTTAGGTCGAAGTAATGGACCCAAAACCCACTTTGGGTTAGGTCCGGGTTAGAATGGGTTGTGCCGAAGTCTATATAGGACCGGACTGGGTACCTTAGTCCTATCTCTTGGCACTCCCATAGGACCATATTGGAGTCCTATCTAGTCCTATAGGAGTGGTCCTATGGGACCAAATGGTGGGAGTTGGCAAGGTCTAGTCCGAAATGTAGAAGAAGAGTATAGCCCGAAATATAGACGTCTTCTATATTTTCGACTAAAACTTCCCGATTAGGAATTTTGAACTAAACCTTCCGGTACAGTTAGAAGATTTCTATCGACGACCACAAATTTAGTAAAATAGGTAAAAATAAACGGAGTTCATAAATCGCTTACTAGCACCTATAGGTATATATAGAAAATATAAAATAAGGAGATACCCTAATATAGAGCTCCACGTCTGTGCCTGTATTCGGCTACTAGACCCTCGCATAGCGAGGGTCCGCCACCCATATGCAAACTATCACCCAAATGCAACTTTTTTCGTCACTTTTACTTCAACCAGCTTTTACACCACCACCATGCAGTAAATTAATTAATATAAAGTGGGAAATGTATAGAGTAGTCAATTTAGTACTAGAATACAGATTTATAGAGCCGCCCTTCATTTTTTGGCCCTGCCATGCTTCCTGATTTCAACCAACACCTTCCTCCACTTCCGCCTTGTCTTTTCTTGATCGGCCTTTTCCGTCCTATGCGAGGGTCCGTATTTTTGTATCAAAAATTACAGGGGCCGGTTACTTCGCCTATGAATACTTGCTGGTCGAAGCACAATCCTGTCCTTCGAAAAGTTGACTTCCCCCCTTCCTTTTTCTCAACATCGAACTTCATTTTCCCCCACTTGTCACTGCACGCAGCACCAGCGCCACTGGCATCACTGCCCGTATTATTTCCTAATGGCGGCTACCGAAAAGTCCGGTATCAGCCTTATGGGCCAATACAATATCGTTCTACCGAAAAGGCAGGCGTATGACTCTTCCGGCAAACCTATACCTGCATGCGACCCCGATCAATGTGCTGCGGCAATAAAGGGGGAGGATCTCCCCGTCGATCTAAGCTCGTTTTGGCACCAGAGAGCAGTTATCCGTGGGATTCGTGATTCACTTCAATTTGCAACAAGCCCGGCAATTCTTGAGCTATGCTCCGGCGACGATGGCCAGGCCCATCAATTTTCCCGCGCCCGCAATGCTCGCCTGATAATGAGTGACATAATCCCCAATATGCAAAATCTTGCCTCTCAGCCATACTGTATCTGGTATCCTGACCTTGCATCAGAAGAAGTATATCGCGAAGTTGCCCGTCGGTATCCGTCTATGCGGTATCAAGTGGGCCGAGCGTGTGCTGCAGCAGGCTATACAGATCTCTACAAAGAATTGGACCTTTTGCCTGACGTTTCTATCGCGGAAGAATCCCGCGAAGTTGACAAAGACGCTGAAATCTACAAGATTATCATGTCCGCCCCCCAACGACATGCTATCATGGAAGATTTCTCTCGATCCGTTCATCTTGAAACCCCACGAACGCCTGTGTTTCTGAATGGCGATATGAAGCCCCGATGGACTTTAGGACAGCGAGTTCTCCCCGGTAAAAATTTACCCGAGACGACTGCTGATGATATTGACATCGAGGAAGATGGATTTATCGGCTTTGAAGATGTCAGCTTGAAGGATATCAGCGGAATGGAGGACTACGCTGAACTGGGCCCAGGCCAGTCCGATCAACTGTGGATGCCTCTTCCGCCTGATCTCCCAAATCTTGAGAAGCGCCTTCAGACACAGATGGCCGCGTGGGAGGGCAATGTGGATCGATACAGTCGACTAATGCACCCACGTAGGCTGAGAACCAAACTTGAATACAATTGTATTCTTCGTGGCATTTATCACAGTACAACCTTCGCCAGATGGTGGGCCTATCAGCTGGAAACAAACCCTGGACGAGCTATCCTCCCAGGTAAATTGCTCAGCCAAGGCAATGAACGGGAGTGCAGAGAGATTCGCACTGCAATTAATGCCCGCATGATAATGAACAATGATATCTCTGGTATCGACGATGACTCGGACTGCCTCCCGTGGGTCATATGGGGGCCCGTGAAGCCCTCTGCGAACACTTTAGCTGATCTGGTTCGAAAGTGTCCGTCCATGGGACATCAAGTTGCGATCACTTGTATAATGTGTGATTACGGTTCGATATTCCGAAGTTTGAAGCCCCCTACACCAGATCCTTGTATGTGGCTGCCAGGCGAAGTGAAAATCCATTCTACCTACAATACCTTGAGGAAATCATGAAGGAGCGCGACATAATTCCCCCGGACTTTCACTACTTCAAAGACTTTGATCACACTGCACCAGGCTTACAGACTGATCTGGAGCCTAGAGATGATCTCACTGGTCCCACTGTCAGCTACCATGACATGGAGATCGGGTATGGGCAATATCCCTGTGGAAATGAACACGAAGAAACTCGAGGTACATATGGAGGCGGGCTAGCAAATCCGGGAATGGTGGAGAGATATATGTGGCTCTCAACTGAAACTGCACAAAAGTTGAAAGATGAACTTGACGCGCCCTACCCAGGTGCGGATATTGGTCTTTTGTATGATGATGGAGAACTTCGATCCAAGCTTTCACGCCGTATACAGCCCATGGATCGGTAGTATGCAGGTTTCGATATGTCGAATGCAGTCAGTCCCTTTGATTTTCGAGTATCATCTGCCGAGTATTGGCTAGCTTAGTTGCCGATGGCAATATCGCTCGTAGATACTAGGACCAACCTTTATAATCTCAGATCAGCTCCAATCCCTCTTCCACGTCCAATATAGCGCGTCGAGCACTGGATTGTGGTATAATAGCAGTCTTGTAAATACAATCTAGAAGCACTGGCATATTGTAACAATTCTTATACAGGTAAACAAAAGCTCTCCAAGAAACTTGCAGGTTTCTTGAACTTGAATGAATTACCAGTACTGCACCAAGCCTAAGGAAGCAACGAGGGTGTGTTTCTAGCGATTTGGGGTATGCTTTTAGCTTTTCTCATCTGGGATCGGACCTAGGACTTTGGTGATGCGGTGATCTAATGCCTAACACAAATGGTCAAGCATCTATACTATTGACACCACATCTTTCTATGCTTATTACATATGATAACGGAATTTCTATTATACTAAATCCCGTCCTCGAGTTCGCCAGTTCGTATACCTAGGGATTTTTCAACTCCAATTGAGTTCATTCTGTTTGCATATATCGGCTTCCAGATTTAGAGGGCTCTCCATGTCATGATAATTTCTCCATTAATGGGTAGACGATGTCACCTGCCAACGGGGGCAATTATTCTGCTACAAACATTAAATGTTTGAACGTGCACCCTTTACAAATGGTCACGGTCACAATATCAAGTTGTTCACTTTTTTCTGTGTGTGCTTATTCCTGAGTGAATAATTCCCCTCCAACTATTTCTCGGCATCGGCTCTTCCACCCGAGCCAGACCAAGTTTACCTATCATCGCCAGGTCCTTTAAGTACGAAACTGCCTTTAAACCACCATTTCCTTTACAATCAATATCGATAAGCTTATTGGCCATTATAGTCCTGATGGCTCGACGTCAACGAGGTATCCAGTTCCCCAAATACGGATGGCGACGACACTTCACAGTAACAGAAGATTTCTATGGCAAAGTCACCTATAACGCCGAGTCACAGGACAAGAAAATATCAAAAAGCGTGTATAAATGGGAAACCAACCTCTTCATCAAGAGCCGCAACTGGATCCATACTAGTACGCCTAGAAATAGAATAGCCCACTCGGCTTGGCATAATGCTAAGCCACTGTACCAAGGCTAGTTGCCTCGAAGGTCAGTCGCTTGCTGCACGAACAATTTAGTCATCTCGCTAGCCCCTGAGATTTTTAATGAAATAATGCCACGTCATCCTCCTATCTCCTTCCCTCACAATTTAATACTTTACCTGGGAATGGCGTCAGTCAGTCTTTTGGTCAGCCAGCCTTTACAGACAGTCTATCTTGCCTCTAGTAATGCTCTCGTCTACTTTAGGACACATTTCTCGACACCCAGTGCCCAGATGATCGACGCCGAGCAAGTTCAGCCGCAGGGGTCATAGCGCCGCCGATCCCGTAATTGACAACTTAACCCGCTCTGCCACCTCGCCAGCTACCTCATATTCCATATTGTGCCACGCAAAAACCTTTTTTAAATTTATACCTCTCTAATTATCCAATCTCTTTCCAATGCGTATGAGCGTTCTCCTCCCGCAGTTCTTCCTTCCACCGTCCGCTATAAAGCTAGGACGTTTCGTCACCAATATTGATGAGCCTTCTAGTTCGCCAATCACGTAGCCAATGGAAACCTCCCTCGCTTGGCCAGCAAGACTAGACTCACTGCAGTACCAAGATTTGAGTGCCGCAGTGAACTGCTGGGCTATTATTTCGGGATTAAAATAGATTGAGCCCTACGATTAGTGCAGCAGTGATCGCCTCACGCCAGCGCATATGCGCTATGAAGATTGTCCCAGAAACCATGGCTCCGCGTGTGTGAACTGCTCATATGGTATCGATGAAGATACGAAATACTTCTTGTTGAATGTGAATGAAATCATGTATGTCCAAATAAACAAATTTGGGGTTTTTTACTGCCCACAATATTCCTCTTCAAAAAATCGTCAACAGACTACGTCCCAACCGAGGTCCACCATTGTGTCCCACCATTCCAACACCGCCAGATCTGATCTTATTCGCATTTTTCACATTCAAACAACAGCATAAGTATGGCCGTGTTCACCAAGCGCCCACGGGGTGGCTTGTCGCCCTATCTGGCCCCTCTTTCGGGTTAGTAGTTAGTTCCGGGCATCTGCTCTTTAGTTACTTGGATATTCTACGCCTGCACGAATCAAAAAGGGACATTTGCGCAACTTGCAGAGACAGTAACCTAAATACAGTTAAAGACTGCAGCTAAGTCTGAAAGTCTTTAATACACTAATAGTCATGGCTCTGTGCTAACTACTAGCCGTGGCAACTACCTAATCATAGTTTTAACCACTATCGAGACAAGTGCAGAGAAATTTCAACAACATGACAAGTCACTTCTCATTCTCAGAATACAAAATAGGATTACCACATCATTCGCCCTCTCACCAACTCAATCCCGCTCCCAGGCACCGCCCGTCCACCAGAACTACCTCTTGTAGCTCCAGGTCTAGGGCTTGGTCATGTCACACTCGTCACTAGCTCTGAACGTTTCCAAGCATGTATCCTTCGCCCAGACTGGAAGCCCCAGATCACAACAGCTTTGCTCAGTAAGCTCCTTTATACCCCGAATGATACTTTTATCACCAGCTGGTCCCACAACCATATTAGTGTCAAAGAATTGTTTACCATCCTTTTCAAGACACCGGAAGTTATTAATGCTACCAGAACTGGTTTTAATAGCATTTTTGTAATCGTCACAATTGCCAGCGTATTGCCAACGCCAGCGGTTCATCGCATCTTCTTTCCAGAGTTTGATAAAGTTGGCATGGGTACCATCAATGTGGTCCACCTTGGCTGAATGCAGTCTTATTAGTATAGTTAGACTTGAGAACAGCGAAGATTCTATCTTGACTTACCCCGGGTGGTAAGAGTCACTGCCTCATTAGCAGGAGCAGCAGTCACGGTGATGGCCAGCGTAGTGGCAAGAATAGTAGCCAGGTTGAACTTCATGTTGACGGTTATCTTTGGAAGACTTTGATTTGTTTGCAAAATCGTGGCGGTGGAGTTCTTGGGGAGATATGATGATTGAAGACTTTGAGGAAACTGTGAATGAATTGGTAAAGTCTCGATTTTAGAAGATTTTGTCTTTCTTTTATAATCTTCGAGTCCTCATAGAACCAGTCTGTTGGATTCTGAGTTATGATTGCAGCCTCGTACCACTCGACTAAAGATAAATTGTGGAGATCTCGATACTGCCTTGCGAGGCTTTTCGCCTCTATAGCCCCATATTCTCTTCTCTATCCGTGACTACTCACTCTGCCTAGCATGCCTAGAGCACCGCAGTTCCGTTTTTGGAATATGCCCCAACATTAGCGCCGTGATAGTCACTAGCCAAGAGAGATCTTCATTCAGTATCTCACGGGACGGTGTGGAGTAGTCTCGCATTTGATATCCAACCTTGAGGATTACTTTGCCAAGTCTCTGCTCCTAAAATGCCTCAGGGCCCGAAACTGCCATGGGAACTATGATCGAAGTGTAAGGCTTTATTCTGGTATGCCTGGGTATGCCTTGGCTTCTACGTTGATAGAAAATAGATAATGGTGCAATTTGTCAAGTATCAACAGACACCAGTTGGGGAAACAAGTGGAAGAAGCCTGTCTCATCCTGCCTCCACATTCTCTCCCTTGCTAGGCTATGCCACTTAAACTTCAGACTGCGGTTGCTGTTTGAAAATCTAATAGCAAAATTGCCTCATCAAACGTCAACAAACAGCATTCTGTGAAAGTACGAACTGGAAGGTTAAACATGATTGGAACTAGCGTTCCCCGACGTCAAAGATCCAGACACTGCGGCGCTATATCAGTAATTCCAGAATCTCAGAAGCTCTGTGTTTCAAATAGGTCCGGTATTACTTTTGTATGACTTTCGGGGTTTCTGGAATGTCGAACCTGCAAACAAGGCAAATAAAACTCTAGACGTTGATGGAGGAAAGATTTGGTAGAGGCGATGGTCAACTATGTCAACCATCGAGGAAAGAATGGGGGTGAGGAGCGACTCCATCTGCTCACCCTGGCTCACCCCTCTGCTCAGTGAGCAGGTGAAATGATTTTGGGTGAAAAGCCTGGGGGATGCTAGGTATTAGGATATGCACGTGACTCGAAAGTCTCGTAGTTCCCAGGTCCTAAGGCTAGCGATATCGTACTCGAAAGCAGCCTAGCTAGTTTAATCTTATCATAGAATAGGGCTTTAGGCAAGAAACTACGAGGCTCCTCTGGCTTTTTATATGAGTTATTTGGAGGTAATGACACACTGAAAAGGCCAGTATACTTCTCAGCGAGGTTGATCGTAGTCTGTGTAGAAGGATGATCCATTATTGATATGATTGTTAGTAGCAAGCCTGATTACGTTGATTTATAAGAACGATCTAAATTCAACAACTTGGGGATATCTGATATGAGAGAAAACGGCTTATGCGGTCCACATCCTGACGTATTACTTCAATAATTTATATTATCCCTAAGATGACATTACCTTGTGTAGAATATATATATATTCATAACACGTGCACATCAAGCACATGTCAAGGTTAGGCGCATGTGGCTGACACGAATTGTGGGGAAAGAATTCTAAGTTTTAGGGTTTGGAAATTCCCGAGTGAACCTTTCCGGGGTACATATGCCAAGAAGTATAAATGTGGCCTTTGGAACTCCCAAGGCTTTAATGTCTATATATATAAAGCAAAAATTCTCGGTATCCACCAAGAAGCGAGCACACAAGGGGGCCCACATAAAAATGTAACCAAAAATAATATGGCGATCCATTGAAATCTAAAATTTCTTGCCACCGCCTCGGTTCCTTCAATTTCTTTTTGCCTTTAGAGTTTTTTGACCTTTTGTATGTAGTTCTAATGATGGGTTTGAAGCCGTATTTTGGCCTTCGGGGAAATGCCCTTCTCCGT